AAATAATTATTACTTAAATTGATGCTCGGTTTTGAAATGTTCTTTTTTTTTCAATAATAAATATATCATAAATATCTTTGTTTATGTTAACACCTATAAAATTCAATTAAATGCCTAATATCCAGCCGCAAGCCCTTGTTTTCTAAAATCACTTGCCGCTGTAAATAAATATATGAAGGTATTTTTTAGAGTTTTAACCAACAAAAAATAAATTTCATTTTTGAAACATATAAAAAAATTCATAAATTTTATAATACCGTGAATAGTTCCATTTACAAATTTTCGAATTGCTTGAACTTGAGATGAAGGTCCTCTATCGTTAATATTATTTATTTGTACCTATTTAAAATAAGTTTTATTTTCAATTATTTTAATTATAAAATAATTCAATTGCTCTCTTATGGTGAATACAGTATTAATGTTAGAAAAGAACTTACAACATGTCCGATATCCAATAGATCCTCTATCAGATCAAAAGAGAAACCAGATTCTATAATTACCTATCAATATATATTTGTACATTTGATAATTTATTTATTTATGATCAAGTCATAAGTTGGATAAACCAAAAAAAATTCAAAATATTTACCATATTAGGTAATAATTGCTGATGAAACCTTGGCATATTTATAGCATGTAAGAGACTAATATCATGATTATATATGTATAATATGACCTAATCATGAAAATATAAGTCTTCATTATATGTATTCTCAAAATATTAAAAAAAAAAAAAAAAAAAAAAAAAAAAAAAAAAAAAAAAAAAAAATTATTTTTGAAAATAATACCTCTAATACAGATGAAATAATTTTCTTTCCACCACCACCACCAGCAGCAAATTCAAATTTTCCATCTTTTTCGATTATTGTTGGAACCATTGATGATAGTGGTCTTTTTTGTGGTACTTTATTGAAATAAAAAAAAAATAGTTTAAATAATATGTATGTGTAATTTAATGAATATATTGTATTAATTGAAATAAAATGATTTAATAATCACCAATAAAATTGTAAGGAGATGGTAACAATCCAGACTCATCTGCCGTACCAGGTATTGAAAAATCACTCATCTGATCATTTAATAGAATTTCAGTATCGGGATCAATAACAAGTGATCCCCATAACTTGTTAATCTATTTTTGATAATCGAATATAAAGGTTAAAACTTAAAATGATATTTTATATGTCAAACCAAATTTCATGAATTAATC